GTTGTTAAAACTTAGCATTTTAAACCTTTTCAAAGATACATTGTTAAACTTACCATTTTAGTTTTCCCATAGGCACATTGTTATAACTTAGCGTTTTAAACCTTTTCAAAGATACATTGTTAAAACTTAGCATTTTAGTTTTCCCATAGGCACATTGTTATAACTTAGCGTTTTAAACCTTTTCAAAGATACGTTGTTAAAACTTAGCATTTTAAACATTTTCAAAGATACGTTGTTAAAACATACCATTTTAAAGCTTTCCAAAGCTACATTGTTAAATCATAGCATTTTAGTTTTTCCATAGAAACATTGTTAAAAAAATAGTATTTTAAAGCTTCTCCATGAACACATTATTAAAACTTAGCGATTTAAACCTTTCGCACAAACAACATAATTAAAACTTAGTATTTTAAAGTTTTTTCATAAGTACATTATTAATACTTACCGTTTTAAAACTTCCCATAACTGAACAAATGGTTCCTTTGAAACAAATTCATCAATATTTTTAGGGGGTTTGATGTTATTATCATATAACAAATTTAGGATACTATCTAGTCGCCACCACACAATTTTATTTGGACAATTGGAATTTTGGTTGCAACACCAGTATTCAGAAGTTAGTTAGCAAGTTGTGAGAATCAATCACCTCAAAGGTACCCAATGTTTTGTTCAGAACAGAGTTGGTAACAATACAAGAAAAAGGCTTGAAATGTTAAATTTACACAGTTGGTAACAATACAAGAAAAAAGGCTTGAAATGTTAAATTTACACAGTTGGTAACAATACAAGAAAAAAGGCTTGAAATGTTAAATTTACACAGTTGGTAACAATACAAGAAAAAGGCTTGAAATGTTAAATTTACACAGTTGGTAACAATACAAGAAAAAGGCTTGAAATGTTAAATTTACACAGTTGGTAACAATACAAGAAAAAAGGCTTGAAATGTTAAATTTAGATATAGATCATATCACCTTAGAGATCAAGTGTTTTGATGTATTTTATAATTTTCTTTTCCTAACCAGTTACATATTTTATTTAGCTTATATAAAAGCGCAGTCTTGAAGTTAGAATGATATTAGTTACAGTTTTGTATATTCAACGATTAAGAAGACTTGAAGCAAACTCTCTCACCGTTCATTTGTTCATTTGTTAGTTGATCATATTTGTATTTATTGAATTAATTTGTTTGTTCACTTGAACGATGTCTTACGCACTCAACGGGGGAAACGGTCAGTTCCATATTCTTGAACTAATGACCAGTCTGAACTACTCACTGTGTAAAGTGACTACACTTAACCGCATAACGATAATGACTGTCACTGTTATAACCCATTCACAGTTGAAAGTGCGAAGAGTGGTTGGTAGCATCCTATCGCGAACACAATGCCCTCGGTTTCCCAGTCTAGATATGGTAACCACTCAGTCATGTGGTTAACATATTGAATTAATAAAAAAATAAAACATCAACTTTTATCTCTTTCAATTTTTTTGTTAATCGCAAGGAAAAGATATTTAGAGAACCTGTGGAAAATATTTAATTCATAAAGACACACACACAACGGAGATCCGAAATGATTCGCTTCGTCTTTTTTGCTGTTCTTATATCTTTATTTTATTTTGGACTTCAGCTTTTCAGGAACGCTTCGTCACGAAAACATCCAATCAATGAAGACGTTTCACAATAGGCCCTGGTATACATAACCTCATACCGGTATATTGTAATATTTAATATAATGTACCTGCAAGCTTCATACACCAAAGCTTCGTGCGTTGTTTTCTCTTGATACCTTGTCGTAATCTCTCTAATGGAAGAGGGAAGCTTACAATACTTTGGACAGTAATATCACTTTCCTTTGAATAACTTCTGACAGCCCATTATTCCGCACTGAAAAGTGGCTGGGTGTTTTCTTACAGTAGGCTTCCATGCTTATGGATACTGTAGACTGAATTTCAATAGACCGTAAATAAAGTAGTCGTGGAGTATGTCTACGTTTAATGGAACATTTTTCAAACATTTGAGCTTTTCAAGCAAATTGAGTTATTCAGTGATTGTTTACTGTCACTAGAGCCATGTTGCTTTGAAAGAGAAAGTACTGTTTTATTCTAAATACACATTTAACTTAGAGTATTATATTTCTAATATGAAGTTAGTTGCGACTGCCCAAGACATTACCCAGTATATTAAGTACAGTGATGTATATTAAGTTTATTTACATTCAACGTCACTTGACATGTCCAACCAGTACGAGTATCTAATGGTTCTCGTATTCGAACTATGAATCCGAGGGTTCATGATTTGCGTTCTGTTGCAAAAACGCACCTTAGTCTTTAGGGCAGTAGGAGATTTATAAGGTTGAAGGTCAAATGCCATAATTCGGTTAGATGAGAGTAGCCCTAAAGTTGGCGGTGGGCTCTGTTGATTAGCTGCCTACTCTCTAGTCTATCAGTTCAAAATTAGGGACAGGTATGTTTAAATAGCCTTTGTACGGCTTTGCGCGAAATTTGTAAAACAAATCAGCACGCATAATTATATTCTTTAGCTTTGCTTAATTACAATATTAATTTGATACGTTACCAAAAGCAATAATTTTCTTATAGTCGTTAATATTTGGAAGAATATATTTGACAAAATATTTTGGCGAGTATTCAGATATTCAGCTGATAAGATCAGTTCTCATAGCTTCGTTCCACTTTTTTGTAATTTTTATATGATCGAGTCTGTAGCACTAGTTTTCATTTTCAACGTAGTACTGATGTTGTTCTTTTTTCAAATGTTAATATTAGAAACATTTCTATTAACAGGCATTTTTTTTTCTAAACTGGAAGACTAATGTTCATCTCTGTGTTGTTCTTTCTCATCTATGGGCGCCCCCCAGTGGAACAGCGGTATGTCTGCGGACTTATAACGCTAGAAACCGGGTTTCGATACCCGTGGTGGGCAGAGCACAGATAGCTCATTGTGTAGGTTTGTGCTTAAATACAAACAAACAACCTATAGGGCTTTTATTAGAATTAGCCTTTTATTTTTGAACGTCACACTTTAATGAAATCAGCCATTTCTTAAGATCCTTCATGAGAAACACGTTTCATTCAGTGTTCGGTAAAACTAAATGCAACGCTTCTTCGTGAGAAAATATACTTAACCTTAAGGAGTTTGATGTGTGAGATTGTTAGTCTCACACACCGAGTTACTTTGGCTGTTTCTTTATTTCAGTTGTTGTTGTTTTTGCATGTTTTTATTACGTAGTATTCGGTCACAGGATAATACTGAGCGAAGCAAGTTTATTGCACAATGTTTCTGCCTCTTCGCCCGATATTGGAATATTGTTTTTGCTATAGCATTCATGTTGTATTCTAACACGAAACGGTTTGATCTGGTGCGATGAAACGTAGTATTAGGTCTTCCCAACCTGAAATTTCGGAAAAGACGTTTTACTGTCACGAAATGACATATTTAATAAATATCTGATCTACCTAGTCGTTTGTCGTGTAATTATGTCGCAGGCAAGAATAGAAATCGTTTAAACGCGTTTCTTATCACGAATCTAAAGAAACGTAAAGATTTAGTGAAATTTTTAGACGGAAATGTTAAATGTATCCAAAAGACATAACAAGATCTAAAAAACAAAAAACTCTAACATTGTTGTTTAGAATTAAGTGATCGTTTGCGTTAACAGAGCACCACGTCTTCAAATCTGTTTTTATCTTCGTACTTTGTTCCTTAAGCAGTATTTGTATTGTAAATCATTGTTCATTTTAACACTTATACAGCGTAATATTTCAACCTTCATCACGTTATTTTCATCAACGTCATCAATGTATGTTTGCTGTTAAGCGCAAAGTTACACAATGGGCTATATGTGCTTTGCCCACCGCGGGTTTAGAAACACGATTTTTAGCGTTAGAAGGACCCGCTGAGCCACTTGGAGCCATCATTAATGCAAATAGTGTGTTTTAATTCATATTAGAAAACTGTTTGGTGGTTACGACTAACTAAGTATATTAAACGGAAATATCAATATTTGTATTTCATTATTCTGAATTTATTGACGTGGAGTTCAAACATTGTATGTATGTTTTATCATTGATACTCATAAAAACTGGTTAAGCGCGGCCTAGTGGTTACCGTGCTGGATCCGAGGATTTGTGGTTTGTACCCTGTTACCGCCAAAAAAGAATACACAAATAAAAAGAAAATCGTGCTCGTAACTAGGCAGTGGTTGCTGCGTTATAAGAGTGACGGTTAAATCCCACGACTCGATTACAAAAGCCTACGTGTTTTTTGTGTTGACTACCTGTCTTTTCTATAGTCTACGAATTAGAAATTAGGGACAACTATCCCAGCTTGCTTTCGAATAGCTTTGTGCGAAAATCAACAATAATTAGGAAAGCTATACAAACCAGGAAGTCACAATTCCACAGAGCTAATCACATTGTTAATACAAATGACAATTTATTTTGTTGAATTTGGTTACTTAATTACAAAAATTGTTTTACATTTTCTCGCGCATATACCAACAACAACATGACGTAATCAAACAGATTTCATTTTATTAGAAAACAGATATTTAAAAAAAAATGCTGATGCAGATCTATTCACGATCTCGTTCCATGTCCTACCGTTTTGTTGATTTATCTACTCTTTGAATGGCAGCAAAGTTTATTCGATGTTCTGTTTAATATTAAGAAATATCTATCTCTTCATCAGATTTCCCTGTGTGATCGTTCGCAAGGCTTGTAAAGTTTTGTCATGTAACAATATAACAGTAATATTTTTTGTGACAGCTAAAAAACTCGATTGAAATGTAACATTCCCTTTATATGAAATTTCAAAATGTTTTTGCAAATATTTGAATAAGGAAGTACTCTTTGTTGAATGTGGTATCAAAACATTAACAATATTTGTAGTAAAATAATAAAGAATAATTTATAAAAAAAATATCGTATATGTGCTTCTTCTTTTTTTTTAAGATGACGTTTTTATTTTTATCTTTATTCAGGCTTAACGAAGCATACCATAATGAAGAAACAAACTCTTATTGTGACGTGTCTGATCATGGCTATCAGTTTACGTTACACTGTTCTCGGCCTCTGTCCCATTCGCTGTCAGTGTAACGAAGAAAGATTGGTAGTAATATGTGACGGAGCTGGCCTAGATGTAGTCCCTATAACTCTTAACCCTGATCTTCGAGAACTACACCTCAGTAAAAACAGCATTAAAGGCATCATGGCAGCGTTTAGCGTCTACCACAACTTGGAATACTTAGATATGACTAACAACCAACTAGTTGCTCTTGGCCGTAAGAATTTTCAGCTTCAAGAAAAGCTTCATATTCTTCTACTGGGGCACAACATGATTTCATCTTTGCATCGTTCTACATTTGATGGACTGAGCGGCCTTCAAATTTTGAAAATTGCTGGAAATTTCATTCGCGAGCTTCCTGACGGCGTTTTTACTGAGCTTGTAAGCTTGGAGGTATTGGACCTATCTGAGAATAGCATAGATACCATTTCTAGAGACGCTTTTATGGGATTAGAAAGTCTAAAAATCCTTTTACTCAAAGACAATAAACTTGGGCATGTTCCTACGTCCTCATTTAGTACTATCTCTCATGTGCTAAGCATAGATTTAGGCTTAAACAATTTCCCAATTTTACCAGACAACGGTTTTTTCAACCTCGTCAGCCTGGAAAAGTTGAAGTTAGACAGCTGTGGAATTCGAGAAATTCAAAGAAATGCTTTCAAAGGATTGGAGAACTTGATATATCTTCTTCTTCAAGATAATTTGCTGGACTCTATCCCAACAAAGGCGTTCCCATACCTTAAGAAATTACTGGAACTCAGTATAGGGCAAAACAACATGAAAACTATCCAGTCAAAAAGCTTCGAAGGTCTAATTAATATGCAGACCATTACCATTAACAGCGCTCCCTATCTTGAAAGAATAGAAAGTGAAGCTTTCGTACCTAATGCTAGACTGCAACATGTTATTCTTAATCACAACAAAAAGCTTAAATATATTGACAGAAACGCCTTTACTTCACTAACTTTGTTGCGTTCTGTAAGTCTCCGAGGAAATGACTTCCAAACATTTATTAAAGAAACTCTACCCTGGAGTGACTTGGAGCGCTTCGATCTTCGTGACAATCCATTAACTTGTAATTGTAGTCTTTCTTGGCTGCTACACCAGTTGCAAACCCGAAACTACTCGGATGCTTTTGATGTGGATTTCACCCATATTCGTTGTGAAAACCCGCCTGTACTTCGTGACCTCACGCTGAAAGGCTTGACAATTGACGACCTTGGTTGTCACGAGCACCAAACTCAAAAGATTCTTACTTGGACATTCGCTGCAATTGGCGTTCTTCTTGTCGCTACGCTTGTCGTGGTGTTGTGGTACCGTCAGAGGTTTGCGAACGATTTGAAAATTAAATGTAATACTTCAATCCCAGAATCTCATCGATATCGACTGGATAATCATTTGAGGGGAGCAAGTTCGCCAGAGCAGGAGTGGGTGGTGAAAATAGGAAGGGATCCTTTCCCTGGAAGGCTTGTGTAGAAATCGTTAATGCGTAGTTTACACGTAATAAAACCGTTCCATTCTTTATTGTATAATATATATTCGTTGTAAATTCAGCCAAGTTAGTTGTTATCGCTACGCTTCTAGTTCTATGTACATTTGTTCACGACGTGTCAACATGTGAGCTGAGGTACTCTGTAATAATGACTATGTGTGAAACAATTACGTATCAAGAAATATCACTAATAACGTACTTATTGTAAAAGTAGCCAGGTAAGTGTTGAGCCCTAGAATATGTAGAATAAATACTTATGTTATGCATCTGGATTTTTATAAATTGTGACTATTTAGGCTCTTAAATCAGACACCATATATGATAGTACTAAAAACAACAACAACAACTATATATCAAAACTGTCTTACTGCTAAAAATGTGAATGAACCTTTAGAATATTCAAGAACATTTATAATGACGATTTCCATTTACCGCACAATATGTCAGTTGATAACGTAATGTTTTGTAAGCAGTTTGGAGTTTTGATCGTTTAATGATGGTACAAGTTAATTAATAGTTATAAGTAAAGCACGTAAAAATTGGTAGAAATTGTTAAGAGATTGTTTTCATTCTTTCCAGAAGCTTAAGTGTTTTTAAATTATATAATTATCATTTAGATTTTATCTATCTAAAACCAATAATGACGATTAATCCACTGGGATTCCCTCCTTTCTAATTAAGAACACAGTTTAGTTTTTGACTCAATGAACAATTCTGAGACCACCTTTAGTTACTGTTTGGTTTCTTATAAAGAGCATACACACAAAAAAAGATTGAGATTTATCTTGTCTGCTTTGAAGGCCTATCCTAAATGTTCTAAATCTTGTAATTATTATTTATGGTCTGTTAGTCCTGACACACAACCATCTCTAAATGTTTGTACGTATTGGCTATAAATGCCCTCTTAGTTCACAATCGAATAGTTCATGGCGAAATCGAATTTTCTTCATCTGCCGTCTGCATTTCTTGAGCTACAGGGTGAAGCAATTTGGGTTTCACACACAACATTGATGATATGTATATATATATATATATATATATATCATTAGAAAATAATTATTAAACTACATTGTTTGTGCCATATCTGAAACAAAAAAACTTAACTAAAAAACCTACATATATGTGTAATTAACCAATCTAAACAGTGGAGAAAAATTAGTTTCCAAAGGTAGATTCAGAAATTTACAATTTAGCCTAATGCCTGAAATGAAACGTTTCACAGCTGATAAAAACTATTTCGGTAATGATGAATATCACATAGAAACGTTTCTTTTTTGTTGTTGTTGTTGAAGAACGAGTTTTGTGTGTTTGTGATTGTTTCAGTGGAATATGAATTTCAAAATTTTTTTACACAATTAATACTTCTTTTATATTATATTTTTGAAACATCGTATTTACAAATTTGGTTAACCTTCAACATTATAACACAACGGTATGTCTGCGGACTTACAACGCTAGAAACCGGGTTTTGATACTCGTGGTGGGCAGAGCATTATGTAGCATTGTGCTTCACTTCAAACAAACAAACAAAAAACAGCATTATAGATGCAGTAAGTTTGTATTTTAAACTTGTTATACCGGAGTTAGATATCTAGATTTATACATATAATGTTAACTTTGTATAATCATATCTTCAAGCTTTTATATCTAAACTAATTAACTCGGAGAATGCACAGCAAAGTTTGTTTTTTTTCTTTTTTTTGAGAATACGCTACTCATTTGGTAAAGATTAATTAGTAGCCTTTAATCGCTTTCTCTTGTTAGCTATATTTTCTAATTAACTAAACTTTTTAATCAACACACTACACTTCCGTTCTAACAGCTGCGGATTTCGAACTCAGGCCTTTAGAGTTGAAAGCGCTGACTACTGCTCTATATTACTATCTTCCTAACTTGACCTCAGACGTTGTATTTTATGTCTTTCAGTAAGCGAATTCTAATAAAATCAATGCTTACGTGGCTTCATAGGTTCTTGGGTAAGAATTTCAGTGCTTACATTACTTAATGGGTTCTTAGAAGAAGTTTTTTCTTATGTGAATCGTGCTCTATTTCTCTCAGGTATGTTTCCATTATATTTAGTTTGTTTTCAGATTGTATCGCTCAAAGTTACATTAGGGCTATCCACGTACAGCTGACACTAATTTTAAATTGATAGACTAGGTCGAAGGCAGTTAGTCAACAGCATCCACCACCACCACTTAGGCTATTCTTGTAGGAGCTAATAGTGGGATCTTACTGTCACTCTTATAGCACATTTACGGCCACAATGTGTGGAATGCGTTTGTGTGTGTGTGTGTGTGTGTGTGTGAGTGGCAATTAAACGCGAACTCTGAGCTATTAGTCACAATCCAGTCACGCTAACCATTAGGCCAAGCCAGTATCAGTATTTTGACACGAAATGCAACTACTGAGTTGTTGGGTTCGATTCCATCTAACTATCTTTCTAAGGGTTAACAGCCAAAATCTAGTTTTAGTTATTTAGAAAATTATAATAACAGTAATAAATAAACAACTAACTAACAATATAAGGCGATCATATACCACTAATTACTATGTACCATGTTCAGTAATCGGTAATCAAAAACACCTTACCTAATTACTTCATTCATGTCTATCTACTTTTTATGGTTTTATTTATATAATAAGGGCAATTCTGATAATGCTATTGCTTTATTTACAAATTAAAAGGAGGTTTGGTAATTTCTTAACTAATAGCTTTTGAGAGTCAAACGTATTCTGAATTCAAAGTCACATTCAAAATCACTTCATTCATTGAACTCCCCTATTGGACTAGCGGAACGTTTACGGACTTACAACGCTAAAATCCAGTGTTGGAGTCCCTCCGGTGGACAGAGTGCAGAAAGCCCATTGTGTAGCTTTGCGCTAAAAGAAAGAAATGAACAAAACGATACTTTCTTTGAAAATAATTCTTAATTAGACATAACAACTAAAACTTATTTAAACATATATTACACAAACAAATTTTGAAGCAAACTACTATGCAAAGAAAATATATTTTATTTCTGTTAAACATGATAACGAATTGAAATATATACGTGTAAATACTACATTTGTTTTCAGTATTTTTTCTGTCACACTGTGGCTCAGCAGTAAGTTTGAGGGCTTATAACGTTAAACAGTGCAAATAGTTCGCTGTACAGCTTGGCGCTAAAACTAAACTAAGATTATTTTTTATTAAGCCTTTCCTTGGTGTGATCACCTTCATTGTGGAACATGTTTAAAAACAATGCTGTATGAATGTTCCACAGAATGCAAGGTGAACAGTAACTCCATCTTCTTAGATCGTTCAAAAAGTCTGAAGGACAAGAAGTTACAAAACAAACATGATATAATTCTCATTCATTTATGAGAAAAAATATTCAGGAAAATTTGGAAATTAGTCATGAAAATGTTTAGCTAACAGTATTTTCTTGACATTTGTATTACGTGTTAAATACTGATCTGTAGCATAAAAGTACAAATCTGACATAAAAGTTTTAGATTTCAACAGAAACTGCTCTTTGCAAATTTATATTATTTCATTCACAGAACTGAACTTAATTTTTAAAAGATTCTTCACCCTAGGATGTTTTATAAATTTTTACCTATTTCCTTTGCAAGTAATTTAAGTAAAACCGGTAAATACTAATCCTTGTAACTTTGGAATTCTTTGCCAAAACAGAAAGAACAAGTTGAAAATATTCTTGGTGATTTTTTTAATGGTCATTAAAACTTGCCCTCGTTTACCAACCTACTCGAAAATTACATGAGTAATTTAGGATTTTTAGTCTATGATATTTGCTTGATTTTAAAGTAGCAGTCTTTAGGTTCTTGGGGAATGGACACGTTTCTTTGGTTACATGTGTCTTGTATTGCGTAGTTACCGGTAAAGGAAACTCAGAATAGTAGAAATGAGACACACGGTAAATGGATGTTTCATCGATCCATCATGGTTTTAAGTCTCTCTTCTGTATATTATTCTTCACAGTATAACTAAAACTGGGTTCTATTAAGTGCAGATGAGTTAGATTAAACATAGTCCTAAATTACAAAAAAACTTATAAATATGATGAGATGATATAAAATGTCGCTTCATAATAATTATGTTTTAAATACATTTTTTATAAAATATTTTTGAAGTATAAATATTTCTTAGTAGATGGAGTTGGAAAAAATGGAAATGTTTGTATATATCTAAGTTTTTCTGTGTTGTGTTGTATTTAATGAATTTTAGATTATCATGTTTGTCTAGATGTTTCTTTCGTTTGATATTTTTGTAGTTGTTTTAACTAAAGTAAGGTAAAAAAAAAGGACACCGGGGCTATCTCAGGAGAAAGAATTGCATAGTGACCTCATAGTGTAAGCGTAGGACCTCAGAGCACGTGATCTCTTGTGAGCTGGAAAGGAAAGTAAATTCTCTCAGAAGTGTTATAGTTTTTCTCTACTGTTGTAGGTTAGTGAATAACATTGAACAGTGAATTCCATGGCTGATTTTATGATTTTGTTAGGGTAGTTTCTAAGTGCTCCTTAAAAATCTCGAACTTGGACACATAAAAATAAAACGCATCATATATCAGTTCTCAAAGCCTAACTTCTGTTTGCTTTATATTAAATACATTATTACACAAACAAAAATTGATTGACGTTTGTGTATTTTTTCTATTAGATGCATTCCGAAGACGGCGAATTATGATCGTGTTTTGCAGAAGTGAGAAGAACACGTACGAGTCCAAACACAGAATTTCCACCTTTTCCTACATTGTGTTTTGGTTAATTTGTTAATTTTCTTCAAACGAATGTCTGTAACAAACCATTTTATTCACTAAACACGCTTCTCATTTTCAAATTCGTGAAAATGTAAACAGAAGAAAATATACAAAGAATCCTCATCTTAATGTTACAAGAAATATTTAAGTCGTATAGTATTCGGCATAATTAAATATTTGCAAACAGTTGGCTCTAAGCAAAAGTTTAGACATTTTCGTAATACCTACAAGCTTTCCAAAGATACAAACTTCTGTAATAATAGCTATTATTGTTGTTTCAAAGTGATGCTTTAAACACCAAATATTTGACGCATCAGGTATGTGCTCACAAAAATCAACAGCTGAAAATAATGATATATTTTTACCTTTAAAACAGTCCTTTAACGGTTTAGAGGATTGAAACTTTCGTTATACTATTACATTTACTTAGCCTTACGCTTGTTACATTGCATTTAAGCTCTGAATGAATGTATTCATATCACAAAACCCGGTTCATTTCAAATCAACAGATCGGCACTACAACAACCCAGTCACTCCGTATCTATTAAAATATTAAACTTTTTAAAAGTTATTTACTAAACATACATGAAAAGTACTTTGTGATGAAAATAATTTCTGGTCTATTATTATGTCAGCTTTAACTTTGATTTGGTAAGCACTTAACCTTTACTCATAAAATATATATACAGTATCGTACAAAAGTATTCACCCCCTACCAATAATGTCAATTTTGATGAAATACAAATAATGTAAACATTTTTTTAATGAACTTGTTTTCATTCAGAACTTTAATGATCAAACTTAACACTGTTATGTGTGAAGGAGATTGAATGTCAGCAAAACCTGCAAATAAAATATATAAATTGAAATTTGCTGATTGCATAAGTATTCAACACTCCTAAGCTCCTTTGCACAATGGGATGGTGTAATTTTTCTCCATTCTTCTTGGGAAAATTGCTCCAATTCTGACAATTTCGTTGGGGATCGTTGATGGGCTGCAACCTTCAAGTCTCGCAATAAATTTTCCATTGGGTTCAAGTCAAGACGTTGACTTGGCCACTCCAGGGCATTCATTTCCTTCTTTTGAAACTACTCCAGTGGGGTTTTAGCCTTGTACTTCGGGTCATTGTCCTGCTAAGATGTGAAGTTTCGACCAAGTTTTAGATTCTTGGTTGACTCAAGTAGGTTTTCCTCTAGCATTCCCCCGTAGTTGGCACCATCCATCTTCCCCCAATCCCGACAAGCTTCCCAGTCCCAGCTGATGAGAAGCATCTCCATAAGATGATGCTGCCACCACTATGCTTGACAATTGGAATGGTGTTGACTGAGTGATGTGCTGTGTACGGCTTGAGCCAGACGTAATGCTCTTTGGTCTTCATGGTTGGTTTGTCGTATCACTATATGAGTTGTGGCTTGAAGAGATGCATTTACTCTGAAGTCAAGTTAAGACACTTTGCTTACACACAGACAGAGACCACTACAGAAATGTTGTAATCTTTCAAACTAATCATTTGTACCTGAACTGATTTAGGGTTGCCGTAGCATAGGGCTTGAATATTTATGCCATTGAGAATATTGTAATTTTAGTTGAAAATCTAAATTTCTTACATAATATCAGTGTTTTTTTAGCTTTCTCAGTTTGGGGTAGATTGTGTAGATTCTAAATATAAAGTCCCTTTTGAAAGTTTCATGATTGCAAACTTAGACAACAACAAAATGTGGAGACTTTGCAGGGGGGTGAATACTTTTGCAAGGCATTGTAGTTCGTAAAGTGTCGTTGCTTGTTTTCAATACTCTTATGGCGTTAGTAATCGAGTGAATTGTATGTCAACACTACAGTATAATAAAGCTAATAAATAAATATATTAACATTAATAGTGGAAAGAATTAATTTCGAGGTATAGTGATCTTAATGACTTTTGTTCAGAAGACGCTGTAATAACATAGTATTAAATCCAAAGTAAAAAGCTAGACATAGAAACTTCTTTGCAGTCAAGAAAGCTCCACTCTGTGATAGAACGATCTATGTCGGGTGGAGAGAATTGGGAAATCCGATGAGAACAAAATAGAAATAAAATAAATAAATCATGAAACTGGGATGTATTCAAAAGCACTATAGTAACGATACAAAGTTTCAAGAATTACAATATAATTACAAACCACAATAGAAAGTATATAAAATCACGAAAACTTATGGTATACTTGAAACCAAAGTATAAAAACACTACAAAGTCAGTGAATAAAACAGGGTATTTAAGAAGCATTGTAGAAATATTATAAATGCTGTTATCACAAGAAACAAAGAATGAGTTTGTTAAAATTTCATATATACCATAAACAATTTTTAAATGTCCTACAATTGTTGTTCAAGTGGTTGTTACTCGTTACTGTAATGATGGTGTTTATCCGTAGCTTTATATTCTCTGTACTTTGGATATCATCAAGGCTACTGTACGTGTAATAAAGGAAAACTTTAAAAAGTGTGTTTCTGTTTTTTAATGTTTCTGTTTTCCACAAAGTAGACTAGAAAATAGTTTTCACGATGAATATAGTAAGTAAAGTTTACAACTGATGGTGTGAGGAAATGAACAACAACTTGGAAAAGTTGCATATCAGCTAATGAAGAACCACATAATTACAAGGTTATCAGCTAATGAAGAACCACACAATTACAAGGTTATCAGCTAATGAAGAACTACACAATTACAAGGTTCATGTATATGTTCATGGACTAGTTTTATTAAAACGAAAAAATATGAGATGCAGAAACTCCTTATTGTTGTTAAAGCCACCGTTGTTGTTTATGCTTATAAAGCACAGTGTGCATGTGTACAAGTTGACTGAGTGAAATGCCTTCACGTATTTACAACTGCATTATACAGTACAAGCTGTTTTGTTTTTATCAAAACAAAAAAAAATCAGTTCCAAAAATAAAGGTAGTAGTTTGATTATTAAATGTTAATTCAACACATTTTGTATTGTATTCTGATAACGATAATTATTAACCTAAAATGTTGCCCGGCGGGTCAGAGATAAGTTATCGAACTTACCTTACTAAAACGAAGGGTTCGATTCTCCGACGTGGACAGATCGCAGATAGCTTATTGTGTAGCCGTGCGCTAAATAATCAAGAAATTGGTGTTTTCAGAAATTTATTATTTCCACTATTGTACAACATTCGTCTTGGATTTTTACGGCCTCGATATATCAGTTAAATGGCATTAAGAACTGACACAGTACAATGATTGTATTGTAAAGTATTGACGTTTAGTAAACAATTTAAATAATTTGATAAATTAACAGATTATTGACATCCAAATAATCTCCTGATATTTTTTGAATGAATAATGATTTGTTTCTTCGCTCTTTAGATTGCATTCAATTTCATAATATTATTAACCTAGGTTTCCAGATACGCCAATTATTTTGTGTATTGTGTTATTGTTATACTTTTTTATTTATCTTCACTCTGAGAAATATTTACGTGGAAACGTCGGAATCAAAATAAATGTTGGACCCGGAATTGAATAATGATATCTGAATATCGCTCCTTTTTCTACCACACAAAAGCCTATTTCGTCTAATCATTTTAACTTTCATGTTTTCCTTGAACTAATTTGTCTATGATGACAAGCACTATTTTCAATTATATTTTTCTTTCTTTTTTTTTCTAATCACACAAGGTGCTTCTAAAATGTAAGTACTTTTAATGAGTTTCCAAATGGCTAAATATTAACTTCCGATCAGAGCAAGCTAGCTACTTAGATCATAATTAAAAATCAGCCCGTTAATGAGAATAGCTAATTAAATATACTTTTCTCATGTTCTGATTTATAAAGATTAAGAATGGATTGTTTCGATCGTAAACAATATAATATCTCACGAGGTTTGGCCAGCTTAAGAGATTTAAGTTGGTCTTATATCCATAAACTTAGCTAACAATCGAACACAAACTTTATAAAAAAATATAATAATACACAATTAAAAATAACAAGTTTTTAATTGCTTGTTGTTGAGCACAAAACTTCACAAAAGGCTATCCGTGCTGTGCCCACGATGGGTATCAGAACCCGATTTTTAAAGATATAAGCCTTCATATTTACCACAGGGAGCAAATATAATATGACTAGATATATTAAACAATTTAACCAACACTGTTAATGAGAGTATGTTAGAGGAAGAATAGAGTAGCTTGCTAATCCGCCAAATCTTCTGAATGGTGAGATAAATGTATTCAAATGAATAATAATAATAATTGGTGCTGAAATAAATTGATAATAATTGTTATTAATCCTTCACCTAATTCTGGTTTGTAAATGACTCATATAAGATTGATAAAAATTAAACCTCACCATCTTAATTTAGTTCACATCATAACAGTTATTGTTCACGTAATTTGACAATATAAATAATGTCTCAAACAAGTCTGTGCCTGTTGTGTCCTGATGTACCGGCATTGGATATGGCAGATATAGCATAAGGTTAACATGTCCTTACACATTTTTCTTTACGTTCACCCTTAACTTCTTAGAATTACTTACGGAACATCCAGACACTAGTTATTAACTTCAACCATAGTCGTCAGTTTAATGTTTCGTAAATTTTAAATTTTTTGTTTCCAAAATCAAAAATAATGTTTCCTGCTTAATCTAACTTTTCTGCGTTAATTTGCAAAAACATAATAAATCACGTTTCGCATGACATCTATGTTCACTAAATTGTTTGTTTTAATCTAACTTGTTTCATGACCAAGAACTACTTAAATGGATCTGTGTAAGTTACTAAGTGAAACTGATACAGTACAAATTGTGTTATTTTTGAAATACAATTAAAATACACCTTATTATGCGGTTTTATTCATACCGTATAATAATTAGACACACAAGAACAAAAATATAATTAATGACTTTAACCACTATGGTTGACCACATTTGGATAACGTATTTTATAAAATATTAATGTGATTTAATAAATATAATGCACTGTTTCAAACCATGCTTACTCTAAATTAAAGGTAACAGTTTAATCATAATGATCTCGCTTTCAAAATGAATAACCTTGAGTATGTCGGGTTGTTCGCTGGTTTACCCTCTCAAATATTTTACTGCTGTTATTAAACGCAAGTATTATTACCAATTTTTAAGAACAAAAGATCTGTTTGCAAAATTTTAAAATTGTTACCCTTAATTTGCTTAATACTGATATGCTTCTCAAATGTTTGATTAGAATATTTAATCCATTTTGCAAGGCGAATCAGAGCTAGAGTCGTTTAGGTTTTAGTTTTGTATGATGAATAATTAATGTTATATTTGTTAAAAAACAAAACGATATTAGTAGATTTAGACTTAATATTCGTGCAGTTTTAATGATTTTGCGTATACATTATAAAATTTCCATTAATTAATACACAACTTCACTTGATTTATTAGTCATAAATTCACTCTAAACTTGGACAGGTTCTTCGGATTTGTCTCAGAATTACTATTTGTTTAGATTGGGCATTGTCTGACAGAGTAAAAATAGCATTAATTCAAGTTTAACAGGATCCCATGTCTCATGCTTTAGCCTTAGCTGGCACTTTTTCTCCAATGATGTAGTATGTGACTGGATTTTAAGGCTTTATTTTACGTGTTTTTTTTTTCATTTGGTATTGCCTGCGATTACTCGAGATAAATTTCTTACTCTACTTCTGATATCGACAGTTTTACAAAGATAGATACGTGAAATGGGTTTGAAAG